CGTAGCGTATATCTGCTAACGAACCCAAGACAACCTATACCGCACGGGTTCGTCCAATTTCCTTTCCCCCCTCCCCCTCGCTCTCTTTCGCCCAGCCTGTTACACGAGCGCCCGAGCGCTTGAATCGGCTCGAACGTGTCAAATTTAAAAAAGACATTTAACTTTTTCCGTTGCCGCGCGCGTTTCGCGACTCGGTCGTTCGTTAAATCTCGCGAATCTCCCCTTCCCCCGCCGCCGCGTAACGGAACGATGAACACGCGTTCGGAACACCGAGCTTGAACTGCAGTTGCAGAAAAATTGACGGCACTCTCTCGAAAACGTAGAAAAATGGCGTTCTCTTTTTCCCTTCCTTTTTTTTCGCCCTTTCGTTTCGTTTTTAATCGTCGTTCTGTATCGTCAAAATACGCCGGCGGAAAGCAACAGGAGAAAATAGAAAGAGAAGGGAGAAAGACAGCGAGTTTGTTCTTTTTTTTTTTTTTTTNCCCCTCCCCCCGCCGTACATACGTCGCGTTTCCGATTTCGATTTCTTCCCTGCTTTCTGCGTTTCTTGCCACTTGCAACTCGACGTGGAAACCGAATCGGCTCTTCGTTCAGTATGAAATTTAAGAAACGAAACTGAATACTTCGGTTAAATATATATATATATATATATATATATATATATATATATATATATATATATATTTAATTATATATAAATTATATATAAATATTAAAATTTAAATATATATATATAATATATTAATTATATATATATATTTAATTATATATAAATATATTAAAATTTAAATAAATATAGTATATTTAAATATATATATATATATATATATATATATTTAACCGAGTCGAAGGATTCAGTTTCGTTTCTTATATATATATATATATCAACCCTTTGCACTTCAAGTATTCACCCCACACACACACACACACACACACACATATCAACCCTTTGCACTTCAAGTATTCATCCCGAGCATAATATTCGACAACCTAGTAGGAGATTAATAAATTCTTTTAATTACATGTTCCGTCGCATGATCGGTCAGTACTCTGCTGTTTCTCTGATTAAATAAATCAAGAAATCGATTTACCCCGTCAGAAAATCTTTTCAATCGTTGGATTTAGGATCAATGTGGCTTGATACTTTTTTACTTGGAGTTTGACATTCTTTCAATGGATAAAGAAAAAGATGTACGATCCAGTTAAAAGAAAATAGAGATGACCTTGAAAATTTGAAAAACCACGTAAAATTAATACATCATGTTTTACCTCCCTTGAAACCACGCAACTTTTGTATTAAACAGTTTTTCATTGGACGCATTATTTAAAAATCATTTCAAGCGTGTTACGTGAATCACCCTGTACAATAAATTGAATAAATCAAAAAATACCCCGTTATACATCATGTCAAAAAATCTCCTCAATCATTGGGTTTAGGACCAATGCCAAGGTGGCTCGATACTTTTTTACTTGGAGTTTAACATTCTTTCGATTGATAAAGAAAAAGATGTACGATCCAGTTAAAAAAGACCTCGAAAATTTGGAAAACCATGAAAAATTAATACGCTATATTTTACTTCCCTTGAAACCACGCAATTTTTTATTGGACCCATTATTTAAAAGTTATTTCAAGCGTGCATGTTACGTGAATCACCCTGTATAATAGAAAGTTATTTGAAGATAGTAGAATGACGACGATGAATTTGCTTTCGGTTGTTATACAAGTAATAATTTAGATAATGATTGTTTCGAGACATCAAGCATTGATTCTGTCGAAACATAAAAAAGCAAGAATACTTTAATTTAGTAATTGCAACAGATATTGGAGAAAAATAAGAGTAACATGGTGAAAATTCTGTCTGTTTAGCAACAAATTCTCGAGGGAGACATCAATCCTGAACGGTTAAAATTTTCTAATTTGAAATGCACGATACGAACGATAATTCAACATTTCGAATGAAACTGTTCACGAAATCCTTACTTGTAATTTTGACTTTTAAACAAATAATTTACCGTGTGTGCACAAGAAACTAGAAAATTTGTTGTGAGATATATAGTTAAGAAAAAGTTGGAGTGCAAAGGATTAAGCACATTGTTTCTGTTATTTCGTTCAAATTGAACGCAGTTTTCTACAGGGTGGAGCCAAAAGTTTCTTCCCGCCTACTTCTTTTTCCTAATAAAACTTTTAACAAGAAAAAGCTAATTTGGTTAATTTTAAATTAAATTTAAGTTCAATGATTTTTCTACTGTACTTTGAAAGTTATTTCTTTCAAATGTCGAGAGAAATATCTAATAAAAAGTTACGGATTTATTTTAGTTAGAAAGTGATTTTTGGCCCACCTTGTACTTTTACTATAAATCCCTCATTCCGTTCGCGATGATTCTACTCGTGCGTTTAAACTCTTAAAATTATCCTGTATTTCTCTAGTGTCGTAATTAACAAGTTGTTGCAGATAGTTGTAAAAATTGGAAGTAATCACGATAGCGTTCGCCAAAAATGTATAAAATCGGGGGGAAGGGGAGGGGGAGGGGGGGAATGACGCAACGAAGAAAAGCAACTTTGTCGGGAAAATCGATTTGAAACAGAAAGTTTGCCAGGCGGAAACTTATTAATTACACGGCCATTTAGTAATGGAAAGTTTTTGTTCCCTTTCCAATTTTACTAATAGTCTTTGGGTTTTCAGAGTCTCTAATAAAATATTGTTTGCGTGTATATTGGTTACCATTAATTAATATTAAAACTTTAACACTGCTCTCAATATATATATATATACGACACTATCGTATCATATACACATAAATAATAAATTTCATCGAATAATTAATTTTCGTCCCGATTCACTCTTTTTTAAAATATTTTTTCAATATTTTTTTACATTTAGAAATTAACAATTTGTCACATGTTACGTCGGTCTGGATTACGTTTTTGTGATTGTACACAGGGTGGATCAAAAGTTTTTCTCTTTTTTTTTTTAATAGAACAAAATATAAGGAAAAACTAATTCCATTGATTTCAAATTAAATTCAAGTCCAAACATGAATTTAAATTAGTGTGCTTTGATCATAATTAAAAAAGTAATAATTAAAAATCATTAATTTTGTAATAAAAAAGATTACAGGTTTATTTTAGTAGAAAGTGATTTTTGGAACCCACTCTGGTAGTTGGTATAACAGTAGTAGTATCGTTAAATTGAGCGATCGACAGGATTTCCGGAAGGGGCGTTCGATAACGAGAGTGGAAACATCGTCGAGAGTGTCAGGAAAAAAACGGGACTGGAATTAGGCTGCAATCGATTCTTCCGTGCACGAGATCCTTCGAGAAAGTCGTAAGAAACAATCGCGTTAGCCGGGCGGACGAATGATTAACAGAGCTCTGGTTTTCGGGGGAGAACCGTTATACAGGGTGGTCCATTTAAGCGAGACCATCTAAATATCTTTTGCGAATTGTGACAATACAAGAAATATTTTTTGAATTATACAGGATGGTCCACTTAAGCAATGATGCAAGAAATAGTTTTTGAATTATACAGAGTGGCCCATTTAAGCAATGATAAAAAATATTTTTTGGATTATACAGGCTGGTTCATTTAAGTGAGGTCACCTAAACATCTTTGCGAATTGTAACGATACAAGAAGTATTTTCTGAGTTATACAGAGTGGTCCACTTGAGTGATGATGCAAGAAATAGTTTTTGAATTATACAGAGTGGTCCATTTAAGCAATGATAAAAAATATTTTTTGAATTATACTGGGTGGTCCATTTAAGTGAGGTCACCTAAACATCTTTGCGAATTGTGACGATACAAGAAATATTTTCTGAGTTATACAGAGTGGCCCATTTAAGCAATGATAAAAAATATTTTTTGAATTATACAGAGTGGTTCGTTTAAGTGAGATCACCTAAACATCTTTGCGAATTGTGACGATACGAGAAATATTTTCTGAGTTATACAGAGTGGTCCACTTGAGTGATGATACAAAAAATATGTTTTGGATTATACAGGCTGGTTCATTTAAGTGAGGTCACCTAAACATCTTTACGAATTGTGACGATACAAGAAGTATTTTCTGAGTTATACAGAGTGGTGATACGAAAAATATTTTTTGGATTATACAGGGAGGTCCATTTAAGTGAGCCCACCTAAATATCTTTGCGATAACAATCGTCATGATACAAAAAAATATTTTTTGGGTCGTCACAATTAGCAAAGATATTTAAGTGGCCTCACTTAAACTGAATCACCCTGTATATAACGCCGCCTCCGCGAGGAGGAAGATACATATGTACAACTCTCCTTTGACAGTGCTTGATAGATCATTTAGTCAATGTCTTTTTCTTTTCATCGTTTTTTCTTCCCATCCGTCCCCGCCTCTATCTTCCTCTCCCTCTGCTCTTTTCAATTTTGCAATTTTCATTGCAAACCAGTCTACGGAACTCGCGCTCCTCGAGTGGCGGAGAGCTCTCGTTAGAGCGAGCGTAGAGGACGAACGGATCAGAGATCTGGCTCGAAACGGAACGGGAGTTATGAGCCGATCGTGGATCTTCCTCGTCCCCGTTCATTTATTCAGCATCGGGTGCATATCTGTACGGTGCCTGGACTTGAATATTTTATAGAAACCATTGCCGGTGTCGGCGCTTGCCGCGAAGCGCGTGACGCGAAGCCTGGATGCGCGTTGACGATCGGACGAGTCGTAAAATCGATGAGAAACGAGTGAGGAAGACGGTTCGGAGAAAGGTTTTTCTCTCCTCTCTCTCTCTCTCTCTCTCTCTCTCTTTTTCCTTTTATCGGATTGGCGAGACCGCGAGATCGGGTTTGAAGAATAGCACCGATGACGCGGTTTGTTACGTCGGGAATTTCCTTCCCTTCCTTCTGACCTGCCGTCTCTCCGAGATCGCTCGTCTTAATTAACGAGCGATTTTTCCGGACGGCGACCGACTGAAAGGGATATGCCAAAGTCGAGACTCCAAAACCGTCGGGCATTATATAAAATCGATGGGCTCCCTCGTCGAGGGGTGGCCCCCGAAGAGGCTTCCTGACTTCTGTTCAATTTTATAGCTCGGTCATTCATCCTCCCCTCCCTTCTTCTTCTTCTTCCACTTTCGAGCAAGGAACCAACCTCCCCGGCCGACGGTCAGGCGAATTCGTTTCACTTGCAATTAACTCGAGAAGAAGAAACGAGAAAAAAAAAGAAAAAAAGAACTCGGCCGGTGTATGGCCAGCGCGTTCACGAGAGCGCCGATTAAAACGTCACGCTCGCTAGCTTGGTGGGGACAAATTCGTGCTTGGAAGTCCGACCCGGTACCGAATCTCGTAATATTCGAATTCCACACGCTCTCCTGATTTTTTCCCTCCATTTTTCCTTTCTTGCCTTTCGCCGTTACCTCGGAAAACGTACATAAATAACCACTATACATATCAGTGTATATATATATATATACAGGGCGATTCATGTAATTTGCACACCTGAAATAACTTTTAAATTATGCGTGCAATGAAAAATTGTTTAGTACAGTAGTTGTATGGTTTTAAAAAGAAGTAAAGTATCGTGTGTCAAATGTTTCTGGGTTTCGAAATTTCCCAAGGTCACATCTTTATTCTTTTTAATTAAATCATATTTTCCGTTTTTTTTTTTTTATCATAAATCGAAAGAATGTTAAATTTCAAGTAAAAAAAGTATGAAGTCACATTTGCCCTAAAGTCAATGATTAAGGAGATATTTTATCATTCGATCTATGGGACGTTAATGTGTAGTTTTCATTCTCGAGACAAATTTCAAGACAAAGTTCAAGTTACGTGAATCACCCTGTATATAATTTCGGTATACATATTAGTAAGTGCAGGGTGGAACCAAAAATTCCTTCTTTTTTTCTTCTTTTTTTTTTTTTAATAAACCATTAAAATATAATTAAACTAACTTTATCAATTTGAAATTAAATTTAAGCTGAATCGTGATGGTTTGAAAATTATTTCTTTCAATTGTTGATCGCCAGAGCGTCCGCGATTAAAAAAAATATACGACAAAATGAATTACGGATTTATTTTAATAGGAAGTGACATTTGACTCACCCTGTATACATATAGGGTCATTTTTATCTGCAAATGCAGTTTCAAGAGGGCAGTAATTTGGTACACTTACGATTAGTTTGTCTCTAGGTAGATTCGTGTTGGAGCATGCACGAAGATCATTACTATTTTTTTCAAGTATAATTGTATATTCTCTATTTTTACCGTCAGTCGACGTAGCAGGTCATTTTCTGTAGGAAAAAAAAAAAAAAAAAAAGAAAGTATTAACCTGTATATGCATCGAAAAATTATTTATGAGATCCACCGTATGAAAGACGAGAAAGGAGAAGAGCGGTATTCTTGTATTTATACTTGTATTCTTGTCTTTTATGTATAGATTTTACAAAAAAAATATCTCCTAAACCAACGGGTTTTAGACGTAAATAGGTTGCAATATACATTTTTCGTAGAAAATGACCCGCTGTATCGATTGATGTAAAAAGAAATTCCACAATTATACTTGAAAAAATGGAAAAACAGCGACCTTCGTGTATATCTCCTCTGTCGCAAGTGTACCAAACTACCACCTTCTCGAGACAGAGAAAAAAAAAAAAACTGCATTTAAACCACTTTTCAAATCAAACTTCCACATCAAAATCCTGTATTAACCATCCATATTTCATCGAGCAAAACGAACGCTCGATGTTTCGTACCCGATTAAAAGTAGCCCGCAGACGCTGCCGGGTGTTCTTTAAACTGGTCTCTCGGTACCGGCCTGGGTATCTCGTTTTCATCCGTCATTATCATCCATCGCCAGGTTCTCTCCTCCCGTCAGAACGTCAAACACCAAAAGCCAAAACTTCTGGCTGTTCCGTCTCCCCCCCCCCCCTCTTCGCCCCGTTTCGGAGAAAGATTTTCAATCGTAACCGACATTCCATCATCCTCAAACGCATCGCGGCCAACGGTCCTGCAGGTGTGGACACGGGCTACGAGTAAAACGGTTGCTCCTCTCTCCTCCAACCTCATTGTTCACCCATTCTCTCTTCCCCTCTCGCGGCCGCCGTTTCTCTCCCCTCTACCTTCCCGCCCCCTCCCCCCGGTAGATTCGTCGCCGTGTTCTTCTCGTTCTGTTCACCGAGCAGCCCCCTCTTCTCCTCTCTTTCTCACAACGAAAGTGGACACATGCTTGGCCCTAGTCACCGTCCCTACGAATTCCAGGGATCAATGCGTCGCGTCGGTGCACCAAAACGCCTGCGCCACCCCCTTGAACCCCACCACACCCACACAGTCGCTTAGCCGAGAAGCAGCAGCAGCAGCAGCACCACCACAGCCACTACCACCACCAGCAGCATCACCATCACCATCATCAACAGCAGCAGCAGCAGCAGCAGCAGCGGCGGCGGCGGCGGTGGCGGCGGTGGCGATGGCGGTGGCAGCAGCGCAGCAGCGACAACGAGGACGATAGTAATGGTGGTGGAAGTGGTGATGGTGGTGGTGGTGGAAACCTCTACCAATGTAACAACCACACCGACGCAGCAACAACAACCCTCGTGGTCCGCGAGATATAACGATAAAAAACGTACGTAAAAGTACGTAGACCTCTGGACTCTGCAATATACTTAGTTTCTGCGTACGTAGCGATCGTACAGGTCCCTGTCGTCGTCGTCGTCGTCGTCGTCGTTGTCGTCGTTCCATCCCTCTGCCATGGTGAATCTGCCGCCGAACGGAAAGAGAGAGCAGAGAGGAGATTCACTCCTCGTCTACTCTCGACGGCAGAGTAGAGGCAACCGTGGAGAGAAAGCTTCTACCTTCTTCAACTTCCCCGTCTATCGCCCCCCCCCCTACTATCGAGCAACTTTCGCCTACCCCTACAGTCCCTCCGCTCTTGCTCCCCTCGCTCCTCGTACGCGAGGGCTGCGGAGGGGTGGAAACGTATCCACGCAGATACTCTCCCTCTTCGAGCGATCTCTCCTACAGCGGCGAGAGGGCGCTCCCCTCTCCATCGCACGGATCGTGCGCGGCGGCCGAGCCTCGGAAATTCTGAAAGCGGTTCGCGCCTGTGCAGCTCGCGCGGGGGTGGCAAGGGACCGAAAATCGAGGTGAAAGGAAACTCCGCGGATCCGGCCTAAGGGTCTCTCCTAGGGCTGGTGCGTATTCGTGCTCTAGCTGGAAATTTTACCGACGTCGCGCGGCCGTACTCCGACGTTTCTATCCGATAGCCCAACGGGTCCCTCGCCCTCGCTAACCGATCGAACGTGTTTGCCGAACCGTGAGAGAGAGCGACATTGTTGTCGGCGTTTCGGTTTCTCTCTCTCTCGCTCTTGCTCTCGCTCTGTATTCGGGACGGGAGGAGACGGATCGCGAGAAAGCGAGAGAACGGACAGCCAACGTAACGCGGCCCACCTCCCTCCCTCCTTCCCCGCCCGCCTGCCCGCCGATTGTGTCGCGTTTGTCCCGCGTTGTCTCTGCTTCGGGCCCCGAACAGCGTTTACTTGGGTTCGCGCGAGTACGCGACAACACGCACACGCAGGCAACGACGTTACGCGCGTAATAATAACGAGCGAGCGAGCGAGGGCGATTCGGTGTGTGCGCGACCACCGTGGTGACGCATCGCGATACGCAACTCGCGATTTGCATATCCGATCCCGTGTGCGTACGCGAGCGCCCGCACGCGCCCGCGTGTGTGTGTGTGTATATCTGACTCTGTGTGCGTGCGTGTGCGTGTGTGTGTGTGTGTGTGTGTGCGCGCCTCTCGGTTTCTCCCTGCGTTTCTACCGCGGATCCGGAGGAAGCCTCTTCTCCGAACAACGAGGGACGAACACGCCGTACAGTTTGCTGCAGAAAGAGAGAGACAGAGGACATTTACGCGAGATAGCGATTACGCGACACCCCGAAACGACGACTACGACTACTCGTTCGATCGCCAGTGTGGCGGTGGTTTCTTCTTCCTCGCGTGACACACTTTTGTCGCCAGCGAAGGGAAACTAAAACTCTCTTCGTCTCTCCATCGCGGCGAGCATTGGTGCTCGAGACATTCTATACCGCTGGCTTTAATCAACCCTTGTGATCCTCTTCGATCGAAACGTTCTGTGCGAAACGGATCCAGTTTTCGGTCAGTGTTCAGAGTTGCAGTTTTGTCTGTGTGAGTGTGCAACGGTGAATCCAGTGAGTGTCTTTCCAAGAGAGAAAGAGTGAGCGAAAAGGGGAACAAAGGGGTGAAAGAGGGAAAAAAGAAAATTACGCAGCTTTCGATCGGCTCGAGAAGAAGTCGCTGGGTCGTGCAGTTTGCCAAGACTCGCCAAGATCGTCCCCCGTCGAGTGATAGAGGAGTCAGTGTGGATCGCGCGAATCCCGAATACCCACGGGGAAGGGTATCATGTATCCCCGATTGCAGCCCTCCTTTGAGGGTTAAGTTCTCCAGCCGGTTTGTTTCTCCAACCTCTCTCGGCTTCGCCTTCGTCTCTCACTTCGTGCCACCGCCGCTGTGTAATTGTGCGCCGTGCAACTAGAGGACTACGCCGTTACCAAGGACTACACCGATTTCGGGGCAAAGAGCTGGTCCCATTGAGGACTAACCGTGTACCACATCCCCGCGCTGAAAGTGAGTCTCACCGCCTTTGATGATGCTACTACCCCGTTCCATTCGGCGGCCCGTTCGCCCACCCTCGCCCTCGGTTGCTAGCCGAGTTTGCATCGCGTTGCTTTAAGACGGCTGCCACCGTATCCCTCTCTGGATTTCTTTGCCTCGGCGAAGTCTCGCGATTGCCAGCGAGAGCCTGAAACAAAGTTCTCGCGCTTATCCGACTCGAGACTCAGTCGACGAAATAGTGGATTTTATTGAAATTTAATCGAACCACGTCGAGCATCATGTCCTTTTCTGCCTTTTCTTTTTCGTATTTCTCTCTTCTCTCTCTCTCTCTCTCTCTCTTTTTTCACTCTCAAACCCTACACCTAAGGAGATAATTAATCAAGGGACACGGGTTAATGGCATTTTAGAGTAAGACCCGAAGGGAATCCAATTTATCCGTCACTTTGTCGAGCGGTAGGAGGGGGGGGGGGGAGGAGGTAAAATCCGAGCGAAGGGAAGTTCAATCCGTGTCGACTGGTTTACAACGAATTCGATCAACAAAGCGAAACCTTATCCCTCACGGCGCGTTGTTGCCTCGGATGATAATGCGTTTATCTTGCACGCGCTTCACCTCGCTGCGTTCTTGTACGGCTTTCGCGATCGCGTTTTTGCCCCTTTCTTTTTTTTTCTTTCTTTTTTTTTTTTGCACCTGCCTTCCTCTAGTTAATTATCCGGAAACGATTCCGATTGTGAGAGTCGTAAAACCCGCTGTTTTATACGACGCGGTGGAACTTTTATCCCTAGCTTTGAGAAGACCGTGTTATTGCCGCGCAGTGAGAAAGGCTTTCTTCTTTTTTTCCTCTTTTCTCTTTTTTTTTATTGAAAACCGACGTCGCGTGTATTCGCGAGTAATTTAATTTCTATTGCTTTCTCTTTCCAAAATTGTGAAATACCCTTTTCTTACCGATTGTGGAAAGTTATATTTGTAGAAAAAAGCAAGTTTCTCGTTGCTTTCTCTTTCGTTTCCTTCGCAAGATTCGCAAGAATCGAGCAACAATCGCAGAACATTCTTCCTTCCTTTCTTTCTTTTTGTCGAATGTCAATTCGCGATTCATCGAGTAATTTTGTTCCTCCTCCTTCGCCTCTTCTACCCAAATTGTAAAAGAATTGTGAAATTGTGATATTTCTTTCAAAATTGTTGAAAGTTTTATTTGTAAAAGACAGAGAAATCCGGCAGCCGTGTCATTGCTACGCAGTGTAAGAAGAGCTTATCGCTTTTTAGTTTCTTGAAAAATTCGGACGAGTCAAGCAACAGTTGCAGAACGATCTTTCTTCCTTTCTTCCTTTTTACAGAAAGTCAACGTCGCGACAATTCGCGGCTTCCCGCGAGTAATTTAATTTCTCTTGCCTCCTTCTTTCCAAAATGTGCAAAACCGTGGAAATATTTACAAAACGAATCGTGCAACAATCGCGCGTTCGTTCTTCCTTTCCTTTTTATCAAACGTCAACGTCGACTTATCGCGAGTAATTTCGACTCTTCTTGCCTTTCCATCCCAAATTGTGAAAAACGTGGAAAGCTATATTTTCCAAAAAAAAAAAAATTCGCGCAGAGAACCGAAAAGTTTGTCGCAAAAGTTAATTACAGCGAGGAGGGCAACTGAGGGTTTCGCGGACCATGACGAGTGACCGAATCGTACGCAATAATTCGTCGCTTTCTTCTTCTTTTGAACTCGTCAGTATGATGTCACTGGATAGATATTATTGAGAAGTGATAAATTTATTATGTGTTTCGCCTATTTTGTTTTGCTTAAATATACTTAAAACTGAGAGGATACTGCAATTTTGGAGTAAACTATTCTCAACGTGCGTGGCAACTGATTGCGGACCGTAACGAGTGACCGTACACAACAATTCGTCGATTTCTTTTTGATTGAACTCGTCGGTATATCACTGGATAGATATTATTGAAAAAGTAATAAATTTACTATGTGTTTCGCCTATTTTGTTTGACTTAAATATACTTAAAACTGAGAGGATACTGCAATTTTAGAATAAACTATTCTCGACGTGCGTGGCAACTGATTGCGGACCATAACGAGTGGCCGTACACAACAATTCGTCGATTTCTTTTTGAACTCGTCGGTATATCACTGGATAGATATTATTGAAAAATAATAAATTTACTATGCGTTTCGCCTATTTTGTTTTGCTTAAATATATACTTAAAACTGAGAGGATACTGCAATTTTGGAATAAACTATTCTCGACGTGCGTGGCAACTGATTGCGGACCATAACGAGTGACCGTATACAACAATTCGTCGATTTCTTTTTAAACTCGTCGGTATATCACTGGATAGATATTATTAAAAAGTAATAAATTTACTATGCGTTTCGCCTATTTTGTTTTGCTTAAATATACTTAAAACTGAGAGAATACTGCAATTTTGGAATAAACTATTCTCAACGTGCGTGGTACGTCATTCCAGCGCAAGAGGTTAATAATCCAGCGAAATTAACGAACGAGGAGAATTTTTTGATAAAGAGAGGAAGAGTAAAAGAGACAGAAGAAGATCGAGAAGGTCGATGTCGAAATCACACGCAAAATTCCACTGCTAATGAACTTTCTCCTGGCCGCGCGACATATTCATTTCACGCGCGCTAATTACATATAATTTTCTAAATGCAAATGCCCGGGAAAATCGTCGAATACATGCATTCGTGATTCGGCTCGACTCGAGCGCGCTCGCTCATTTAATTTCGTCGTCCCTTGACTTTCGTCTTTCGGAGTTGTTCAACAATTCGTTACTTATGCAAATCACCGTGGACCTTCGGGGGAGAAGAAACCCGGCTCGGCCAAGAGGGGAAAAGAACACCTCTCCGGGGGCACAAAGGGATCGAGAAAATTGGCGTAAGGCTGGCGAGAGCATTCCGCCACCGGAGAATATACGATCCAGACCCTGAGTGTTTTGAGAAATTTTCAAACAACGTTACTCTCAAATTCCCTTATGTTTCTTTTTTTAAAAAAAAAGCTTCAAAAAGTTTCAGAAAGAATCTATTTGTGAAATAACGAAATTATATTGTCGAGTGTCTCGTGTAAATTAATTTCCGATTAAACGATTTTTATTTCTTTCATTTCGCGAAATTGTCACAAATTGTTTACCATTTGCCAGGATTTGTCGTTTGATCTTGATGGAACGTGCTGTAATGTTTAACATAGTATATAAATACATACATGGTAATACATAGTAATTTAGTATAGTAATTAGTTTTAATTTATTATAGTATTTCTTATTCTGCAGCTACAGTTTGTCTATCGGACACAAGTTGAAATAAATATCCGTCGATTTTTTTGATAACTAATTTAGATAGGAAAATACTCATTTGCAACATTGACAAATTGTTCCCAAATTTTGTTCATTCGAATGTTATGTCCAATATTAAAAAAGCTAAGACAAATTTCTGCCGTGTTACTGATACATATTATTTTGATTTTCATTGATTACCTCTTTCATTTTCATTTGAGTATTTCGATTTTTGCTTTGGCGTTTGCTTCGAATGTTATTTTCAACACAAATTTTCAGTTATCAGGTAAACATTATCCAAATAGTTCTCAATCAAATAACTTTTCAATATTTTCCGAATTATTTGCGTATCGAAGTTTCAAATTCCTGGATTGACTAAACGAGCTACATACATCTACATTGATTGAAATCCATTATTTGCCGAATACGAAAAATTTATTTATGAATCATCGGTTGAAATAAATTTCGCCCGAGGTTTGGCACGATCGTGTATTGCGTTTTTCTAATCCTCTTTCGTTACGCGTGTGTCACTGCTTCGAATTTGAAAATATCACCGATAATTCCAAAGCAAATAACTCACGGTCGCTCGAGATGGGGCGACGGGCAAAAGAATAATTCAGAAAAACGCGCAGCTTAGAAACGGATGACGTACGCGTGAAGTTCGGGGCGAGATAAGCGGATATTTATGCATTTGCACACGATGGAATATGCAGAATATCACGCGAAAAAACACGCAAAACATGCACGGCGCAAAGCAAAAATCAACTGCAAAGTAGTGCGCGAAATATGAAGAGTTAAATCTCTCTCCCTTGGCTCCCCAAGTTGCACGGCTCATAGAAATTTGCACAGAGAACACCGGAAAGATTAAACAGGCGAAGCAGGCAGACTTTTTGTCACTTTCGGCGAGTGGCCGATATTTCGTCACGTCTTGAAACTGAATCGCGAGAGGAGAGACGAATGTAATCAATTCTCATCCTTCAGATTAAAAGAATATTTCCGCTCCCCTGTTTGTTCGGCGGAACAAAACAAAAGAAAAAAATAAAAAATAAAAAGTAAACCGGTTTCGTTGTTGGCGCACGTTTCAGCAATTTCCACGGGGTTTAAACGGGGTAATCCCCCTGCCGGCCGCGAAGTTGAAGCGGACAGCTCGCTCGTATTATAATCGCGAGGAAAGTAGTTATTCTTGCGCGAGGCAAGAAGTTTCTCCCTTGGAAACGCCTGTGAGAAACGCGAAGGGATCGAGAGGAGGGAGAGAGAGAGAGAGAGAGAGGGAGAGAGAGAATGAATCCCGAGCGATCGATAGGCCGCTTAACCTGTTTAGCGCGATTAATCGCGTCGCAGGAAACGAATCCGTCGGAACAAGACCGGGTTAAAAGTTACGCGGGTTTAAGAGTTTCGAGATCGGGCGGGAAATGTTTCAAAGGGATGAAAGATTCGATGCGAGATCCATTGATACGTGGCACTATCCGATAGGTTTGATTCTTTCAATCATTTCGATCACGCTGTTTAGGTATGATCGGCGCTCGATCTACTTTCTTTTTTAATTAATCTCTTGCGCTGGAATGACGTGCCACGCACATCGAGAACCTTTTGTCCCAAACATTTTCTCCGTTTCAAGTATATTTAAATGTAACTCAGGCAAAACAAAGTGAATAAGTTCATTACTTCTTAATAATTTCTATCCAGTAATATCCAGTACCGACGAGCTCAAAAAGAAAACGGCGAATCA